AACGTCACAAAACAGAATGATTTTGTGGTTGTTGTTGTCTATGAAAATTTGTTAACATTCCTGTAAGAAAACGTTTACATGAACCGCTTTCCAAGATCCATCTTCTTCAATAAAACTGAGGAGATGAACAGTCCGTCATGCAATTGTTGACAAATTTGACCAATCGATCGATCGATCGATTGATTCATGATTGATTGATTGATTCACTGGATTACTGGTTCATTGATTGATTAATCTATTGATTCATTCAATCATCAATATAAGTGTCTAATCATTACAAAAGCTGTAATCCAATTTAATACATTACAATAGAGGATGCGTGCTTCTGTAAAGACCTATGAACAGCAATATTCAAAATGCCCTCCTAGTCTTTGCAAAACATTCAGAGTTTTAACACTTGACCCCGCATGACTGAAGTGCACCTTTCCATGAAAAAATACTCTGCAAATAGGGGGAACTTTGTCAAATTTCAACATCATGCCTCTTTGAAAACCTGCAAACTGATCAATAAAAATAACAAGAGCGTAGCACAAAACCAAATAATATGCTACGGCAGTGTCGAATCTCAGTACAAGTCAAACAGCTACACTCCTACCATTTCCCAGGGCTGCAGTCACTGCTTTCTTCAATTATTTTTCTTGTTTTTGTTTTGTAGGTGACATGTTCCTATTTGCAAATATATCAAGAACGAATTTATGATTTGCTAGGCTCCGAAAAATCTGGAACTGAAGTTTACTTGAGAGAACATCCCAAAAAAGGTGTAGAGAGCATTATTAAGTATAAGCTTTAAGTATTTCACACAATCAAGTCTACTTTGAGAGGGTAGGGGGAGATGTGCCGTGATAACAGAAAAATGTTGTCGGAACCCAAAAACAAATAAAAATCTTGCAATACTTATCACGGAAACTTTTCAAGTCCATCTAAGATGCCAAGAAAAACGAAATCGAGGGAACACGAGAGAGCTTGCTAAACTAGACTTGATGTTACGAGACTCTCACCACTGGGGTACAAAGCTGAGTCCGTCATACTCTGCGCATAATAGGCTCCAGCCTTAGACTGGATATCTAATCATTCCGATTCTTCTGTCTGTCGTAGGAGTTTACGTAGATAACTTATCTGAATACTTTGTCAAAAGTCCAGAGGAGATTTGTAAACTGTTGAAGTCTGGCAAAAAGAAACTGGCCATTGCCGAGACCAAAATGAACAGACAGTCCAGCAGGTTGGTTTAAAGCTTAAATCTTTTTGTTACATTTTATGATAGACTCAGTGACTGATTGACCGACCCACGGATCGAGGTACTGACCGGCTGACTAATAAAAAGAAAGATTAAGTGTCCGTCAAGTGCATCCGTTTGTCATCACAGCGCATGATAGGCGCGGTGAGTTTTCTTGCTAATTTGTTCACAGCCACTTTTTCTTTTTATTGCAGATCTCATGCAGTTTGTCTACTTAAAATCGAGAGGCTCAGCGTTCCACGTCGTTATGGAGGTGATAATCGTTTGGGAATTAACGTAATGCATGACCTTAATTCCTCTCTTATTCGTTCCGATCGTCGGTTTAATTTTCCATTTTTCGTTCCTTCCCTTTTTGGTTTAATTGATTCTGTCATCATTGCTTCGGAACTCTGACAGTGTCTGATAAAAAAAATATGTATTTCCTTTAGAAGTTTTTCCAATTATTAACTCGCAAGCTTGCAGCGTGAACATCACTCTTGTCTACTCTTTATTGCAGGGATAACAGACTCCTTCAGCAGTTATGAGTCGTATTACATATCGGGAACTTCAGACACTGAGTATTCAAGTGAAGGCGGCTCAGTTGAGGGCTTTGGGTCTTCTGATCACTTCGATGTGAGCGAGTTTTCCTTTTTTTTTTTTTTTTTTTTTGTTCTGTTCTGAAACGGTTTGTAATGGCAACTGTTTCAGTTGTTTTATCTTTTGTAAAAAAAAAAAAAGTATACGTTCCTTTACATCTCAGAGAATTTCAGACTTACGTAAATAGCTCTAGATGAACGTGCCATAATGATTCACTCTGATGTAGGTTTGGTTTTTTCCTTTTACATAGGAGGACGAAGAAATGCTGTCTAGAATTTCATCTCAAACGAATGGTTTGGCCGCCGTCAGAGGAAAACTTTACGTGTAGGTATCCCTCTGGCGTTCGTCAAGTTCTTCTCGCTCTTCTTTTTTTTCCTTCTCTTTTCCATCCACATCTGCTTCGATTGTATATTCTTCCTGTTCCCTTGACTTTGGCTATTTGGTTTGCTTTAATTAATCGAGGTGAGTACTGTTGGCACCGAGTTTTTCCGGCGTCTAAGTTTTTGTGCCTACCTTACGTTACGCCTAAATCGTATTGCAGCAATTTCATGGACGAGTGCAAAGCAGAGATCACGCTTTACGGAAATGTTTTAATCTTTATGGCGCATTATCGCAATATTTCAGAGTGAGCTGTCGCCATGTTAACGACCGATTTCAGTTTTGGTCGGCGTCTTAGGAAGCCACATATAGGGCAATATATAGGCATCACGCGCGGCCGCATAAAGTCGCTTGCGGAGTTTTTTTTTTAACATTATTACTGACAAAGAATTGAAAAGTGTACGTTTCCGAGCAAAAAGGTTTTTTTTTATCTCCGATGATGCATAGAACCTGCAGGAGAATATGGTATAAAGCAACCATCGAAAAATTTATCTCCTTTTTACAAGAAGGAAAAATTAAATTTTTTGTTTAAGAAAACATATGCTTGATATTGAGGAATGAGGCAAAAGCGGGGTAAAAGGCTTGCCCTATATCCCGTTTGGTGGAAAAACGGTGTTCGTTGGCCACAAAACTATTTTTTTCTCAGCGTGGAATTCAAATGGAGTCTAATTCATAGATTATCTTGAAAAAAAAGTCGTTATGAGCTCCTTTAAATCAGATTTGAGATGCTCTGAAAAAAATGAAAAAAAATGTCAGATGAAATGAAAAAGTTTCACAGGCAACCTGCGCTTTACGGTCAGCTAGTTGAGTCAAATTTCCTTAATTTTCTTTGGGCTGCTAACTTTCCGTTTCAAGTACTATCCCCTGAAAGATGAGGTTTAGGTAAACAATGGCAGACAAGGACACGAGAGGTCAGTAAATATGACCGGTTTATATGGCTTTCAACTTTATCCTTTTATCTTCTTTCCATTTGGCGCCAATTCTTTTTTATCTCTGACGTATGGAAGCTTGAGCTATAGATAAAGCATCTGATATTTTTTCAACTGTTTTAATTATTCTAGGCCCACCCAGATCTTGTTGAGCCAGTATCCTCGCTTTGATATTTAGCTTTGACGCTGCAATTCCGGTTCAATAAAAATCCCGGTAATGTGAAAGCGTAGAAGCGTATAAAGAGCATGTAAAGACCGTGCAAGTGTTTAAACTCAAGTAGATAATATAATGATTAGGCTCGCCACCGTTTCACAAACAAAAATCTTCGTGCGAAAAAAGGTTACAAGAGCTTGAAAAGACAGAGGATATGTTGAAAGGAGTTACGGTTTGTACATCCTGAAAACTTAAGTCCAAGGTTTTTTAAGTTTCACGCCGGCCACAATCCGAGTCAATCTACTCCATCCTCAACAATCCTCCGCTATTTCAGGTATACTCCTACCTATGTGATGTTAATCTTTCACCGTAAACTATTCTTTCAAGTCTTTATGCAGTATTGAAACATTTCTTGCTTTCTGAAATTGCCTAAGATATCGCGGCGGAGCCCGTTTTATAGCACCATGTGGGGTTATCTTCGTTTCGTTCTGTTCGACCGGAGATTTTATTTCACAATATTTCCAATCGCAGCTGTGATCTAGCAGGCAGTGAGAGGGTGAAGAAGACTAAGGCTGAAGGTGAACGACTCCAAGAAGCACAGAGTATCAATTCCTCTCTGCTGGAGCTGGGGTAAGTTACTAAGACGCTGATACGCGGCATTAATAATTCGCCAATTTTTAAGCCAATATGATGTGTTTGTGATTTGTTTGGTTAACTTAAAAAAAAGAAAAAACTCTTGCTTGCTAAATTTAAACCTGCACTAAACTTGATTTATTCTTCTATTAGGAATCTACGTAAAAAACAAAGGGTAAAGTTATGGTAGATATTTAAGTACACAGTTGCTATACTGTATCTTCTCATGCCCAATATTTCTAAACTTACGTCAGTGATCACTTCTCGTATTTCTCTGAACATTAACTTAGAGGCTGTGACGAGGACGAAATAATCATTTAAGTCCGTATTTCAGTTATACTTTACACTGGCAAAGTGTCACTTTTCTATCATGTAATCTTGTTTTGATATTTCTCACTGATCGCGTTGGTAAATTGTCCCATGGTGTGTGGTGTGGGTCCCGAAAAAAAAAAATTTAAATATTCAATGATGCAAAGTGAAACATCCGCTAGAAGTTCTTATATTGGAAGAATCGGATCCTACTAAGGGTTCTCCCCGGGAGCTTTGTCTCTTCACTTAAACCCAAACAGTCCTTATCTAATTTTCACACGTAATAACAAACACGATTGAATATTTTGTTTCTACGCTATGGGAGGAGCACTTCCAGTGTTCACCTGAAAGCATAGACGAAATGAATGACTGATTCTAGTGATAATGTTAAGCCTAAAGAAAATTTGAGCCTTTGACTGAAATAGCGAATTTGATCTTATCCTACACATCGCAAGATATTGCTTTCATTCTCGACCAACTCAAGTGATCTAGAATAATTAATGACAGGATGTGAAGTCCAGAATTACAATATAATGTTTTTTCAAGGTGAAGTATCAATCGTTTCAGGAATGTGATTCAAGCATTAGCTGAAGGTACCAAGCGTCATATACCATACAGGAACTCAACACTGACAAGGCTGCTTCAGGATGGCTTAGATGGAAACTCCAAAACCAGTTTAATTGTAAGTACATCATTCCCAGGCTCACCAGACTGGTTTGCTCAGTTTTTAACCAGCTATAGCAGACACATGTCCATAAATCGTCGCGTTTGTTACACATTTCATCACAAGCTGACAACAAAATTTTGTTTTTCTGATTGAATGAGCCAAGTGAGAGCACCGTTAATGTTTCCATTTCTTGTCTTCCTTCTGAAATGATAGCATTATATCAAAAGCCTAAATCCGTTCCTTTTTTACTTCATAGGTGTGTGTTTCACCTTCCTTTCGTGATGTCAACGAGACACTGTGTAGTCTAAAGTTTGGCCTTCGAGCAATGAAAGTTCACAACGTTGCGCAAGTCAATGTCGAGGTTAGTTGTATGTACAGGCTGAAATTTTGTATAAACAATCAAAATACAGATGAGAGTTCTCTTAGAATGTTTTATCCTCTCCTCATTCCTTGGATTCTATGGAGTGGCGACTTAAGACTTACAGGCTACCTCTACGAATCGGTATCCCGAAAAATGAAACAAAAAAAAAGGAAAAGTCACCCGGAGAAGGGGAAATCCTTTCAAAAAATCCTCCAAAAAATTATCCGAACTGGTATTAGTTGGAATACCTGATTACCCGGATATTGTTGTTCAAGTGTCGTTGGACACATCACTGGCGTATCCCAGACCCAAGCACGCTGTGAAAGCTGGCCAATGCCAAAACAAAGTGGACTTTTCATTATTTATTCTGAAAGAAGCAAATATATATAGACGGTTAATTCTTGGTGGCCTATAAATTGAAATCCTCAATTGAGAAATGGAACCAATACGCTATGGGGAAACGCCCAAAACGATTGAAGCTTAGGAAAGATGAAGGATTGAAATGGGCAAGGGTACTGCATAGAAAACGCGTTGAATGTGAAAGAGTTTCCAACGCAAGTAGAGGTCTAGGTTTTTAGTTATGAATTATACTTCTCTGCAAAGGAGCCAAGAAAAAAGGAGGAGAAACTAAAGTAGCGAAACGAAAGAATTATTGAGAAAACTTCAGGAACCATAAAGAATCCATTACGTTTATGACGCTAAACTTTGCTCTTAGCCGAGAACAATATTCAATGTTTATTCAGAAAACAAAGTTGGCTGTGATCATTAGCGTTCAGTTATGCTCTCACTTAAGACCAGTTTGCGTTAGTCCCACAAATACTTTTCTCCGTACTTTTTACAGATCTATCAGCACAGCTTTCACATATTATACAAGTAGTTGATAATTTTTCACCACTGAGAGAAGTTTGTTTGTCATAAAAATCCGACAAATTAATCGCTTATCATTTTAGTTTATGTTTTATGTCAAATTTGAAAGTGTCGTCAAACCATCCGACTATCATATAATCATGACATTGACGTTTCATACAAATAATTGAACGAGAAAAGGTTTGATCGTACGCTAAGTCGCCATACAGATAGAGAAGTAGCCTTTTTTCCGCCATAATCTGCATAAGCACTTCTACTTGGATTTCCATGATCTAGATCGCAGACTCGCTAAGATGATTCAAGAAAACAATATAGTAATATCAACAGCTCTGACCGCAGTCAGGAGCCGGGCTCCTGTCGCAACCACGTACAACATAAGCTCCTCTATGGCACCCAAAAAATCCGGTACTTTATTCTTTTTTCTTCCATTCTTGTGGTGGCTTAAAGCCTCATGCTTAAGCAGATTTTAAAAGTGGCGATGAGAAGTGTGGTGTGGATTGTAATTTTTGATTGCAGGGAAGGCAGTTGATAAGCAGTTATGTAAAATACACGGTTTTGGTCGATTGATTTTTATCCGTAGGAAATCGTTTTGCTAACTTAGTAAACTTAAGAACTTCGCTATGATTCAGAAGATCGACATCGCATAAAGTTAAGCTTCAGTTAATACGTTGTGCGACAGAAACCCCACACGTATTGATCAATGATGGGCAAAGTTAGTACAATCCTTTCCAATTTTGTTTTCAGAGATTTAACCTTTGATTGCAAAGGAATGCCAGAGGCTATCTATGTGGTTTTCTATGTCGATAATTATTTTTATCATTCGAAACACATGTCTCTTTATTTGTTTTGTTTTGGTTTTTTATTTTCTATTTCAGTGGTTTTTTTTTTTCAAATCTTGGTAATGACCTCATTTCATTTCGTTTCACCGATTTTATTTTTTCTTTACTTCGTGTATTTATCGTTTTATTTCATTCTTACTAGATTCATTTTTTTTATTTAATCTTATTTACTTTCTTCTTTCTTAAATTCCTACCATAATCACTATAAAAATCAATAATGACACTGATAATAATCATGATATCAATAATAATAATAATAATAATAGTAATAATAATAATAATAACAATTGATTTTACATAGATCGGAAAATTGCACCTCAGCAGACCTACTCTTTAAAAATTATGAACCACCACTATTTTCTCTTCGAGCCACTAGATAAAGTCTAAGTATGAAATGTGCCAAAACCTTTCCAAACTTATCATCATCATTCAGATAACATTTCATATAAAATCAGACGATTTATTCAAGAATCCATACAATGGTCTGTGACAGTGGATACTTCACGATTTTCAGTTGCGTATTAATTCTATTGATACCCATCATGCGTGTCTCTTCTTTTGTCATTTTTCGTTCTTAGTCTGCTGTATTAAACTTTAATTTACCAAACTAACATTTTAAATTTGAGCCTCTTTGGTACAATTCGAAGTTGACTAAGCACTACATCAAATATATTTTCGAGTAGAAATTCTAACATCATCATATCAGGATTCTTCACGTTGAAAAGATTTTAGAAATTAAATTGCAGTTAATCAAGTCCAAGAATTGAGTGAGGAGTTTAGTGTAAAATATTTTTTCCCATCACTAACAGTTTAGTCTGATTGATTTCCACTCTGTCGCATGTAACTCTGCCATCTGATTGATATCCGTCAATGTCACGACCTTAAATTGACTTAATTAGGGTATTTCGGTGTGAATCGTGAGTCGGCTATATCAAAGCTATTAATAAAAACACTTGACAATGTATTGTTTATGAAATTAAAAGTTAACCAGGAGTGGAAAGAGAAGAGACTTGAAAATGTAATAACAAAACTTAGCTCACTTCGAAGGGGCACAAGCTGTTGTTTAAGTAACAGACATCTTGGTTTGCAAGACAAGAGAAAATATGTTTGACATTTACCAAATTATGCGATCTCTCCCGTTGTTAGCAGCTATATTGTTTGATCGTCACCTGGAAAAAATTTATTCATTTGCTGATTGAGCGCGCGTTGCCCGTCTTTCAGCCGGTGTGTTTTGGAATTCTCGCGCTTTCAGCACGATTGAAAGTCAGCTGGAATGTGTTTTCATCAACTCAAATCGCTCATTCTATGACCCTAAGCGGAAGGAGGAAAAATGACGGAGATTTTGCCCAGGGTAGAAAGATCCTTACCAGGTTCTTGCTGAGATCTGCGTTGAGTAAGATATTCTTCTGTATATTTTAGCCATACCCCTGAGCTATTTCGTCTGTAGTCATTAGTCAACATTCTCTGTTTATCAAACAAGGCAAATGAAGAGTCGAATTGCAAATATTCTTGACAGCTAGACATGTAAAACAAGTGGCTTGTATTATTCGTAAGAACATATGGTATTGTTTTGTGGCCTCAGTTCAAGCTTTCACTCCTTACCACAAAACCCCATTCACAGTCGCTTTATATTATATTGTGTAACTGATGCAAAAATGATTTTGGTTGCCGTTACAGATTGATTACGAAAAAATGGCCAAGCAACTCAGCGAGACATTAGAAAGCAGAGGTGAGTGAAATACCCGCAATGACACTAGACTCGGTCGCTCTGATTGCCGAGTTTGAGATTCTAAAATCCTAAATCCAACGCTCAAGGTATTTGAACGATTGAATACTTCGAGAATTCTTTCTTTTTGCCGTGAAAACACGATTGAAAAAAGCTACAAGAACTTTTACTGTGCTTCATGTGCTACTCAAGTTGAAGTTTAATGCGGTTTTGGCGCGAGTTAGCGGCGAAGAAAGGAGGTGAGCTCAGGTCGCTCGCTGGCTCTCGTGCCATTTAAATCACAGACATCTCCTATTACAACACACTGAGCAGCAAGACAAAAACAAAACAGAAAGAAGAACATAATGAAAATGGATCTCAATGTTGTTTTATGCAAACAACTATTTATAAGCCACACCGTGGGCTTTTGTGTACGATGCTGTTTAGAATAAACACAATAGTTTGCCGAATGCGCTCAACTTACGCCGATTTGATTTTAGTAATTGCGTGATTTTATGGCGAACAGCATGCAAGTTCTTTCAAAATGAGGGCCGCGATACTTCACTCTTCATCCACGTTTCTAGTCATCCCAATTTCATAAAAGGTATAACTTAACAACCCAGTTTATCAAGTGTAAAAATAGCATTCTTTTGTGGTTGTCCGGGGCAAACAATGTTCGGTACAAATTTAAATACTGTTTTTGAACGCTCTATTGCCTTTGAAACATTGGAAGTCTGTTTTGTTCCCTTTCATTGTTGCCAATTAAGGCCTTGCTTTGTTATGCAAAGCGATATGCTCTAGAAAGTGTTTTCCAATATCATATGGACTGATTTTGACTATAATTAGCAGCGCACCATTTCTTGGTTAATTAATGTTCAATTCTTGGTTCCTTTTTACGTAATACCTAATTAAAGAGCGGTCCCTGACAGGGCTTAAGCTACGGACAAGTACAACGTTTTTCAACGACAATTTGTTTCAAATTTATCATTTGTCTTACTCACTGACATCTTGTTTATCGTTGTTAGTTTTTTAAAACTTTTATATGATTGAACGTGAACATGTTCTGAGTACCGCAGATCAATGCTATGACCGGCGCCGATAACTTTCTGAAATATGAGTCGCGTTAATTGCAACGGAGAGAACTCACTCAAATTTCATTTGATTAATTATTTTTTTATCATTATAATTGTTCCTCAAAAGATGGAAACAGCTATTTGGTAAATGAAGCGTAGATAGTGGAGATTAAAACGGCTGGCGAATGATAACGAACCTGAACTGAAATGTGAGCTCAAATTTTTTAAGACGCTGGTGTCGTTCATTTACCGATCAGTTTACAAACATCCAGCTAGTATTAAGGTTTGAAGCAAGTGCGATGTAATATATCTTTTTCCTTTTTTGCCAGCCCTCTCGCAAACTGGAAATTTAATTTTGTTAACGTAAATTGGTAGAAATTTTACCGGCCGTAGAATAAAAAGTCTCGGCTACTTTATATTTTTTTGCTTGGCTATTTTGAATTATAAAATTATTTTTTCAACTTTTCATTTTGTCCAAAGTCAAATGTCGAATCAATCAAATGTCCGAGACGAAGATTTTCAGTTAAGGATGGGGAACTGGATAATAAAATCGGTTTTGCTGTTATTATGAGTACAGTAGTGTACGAGAAAATTAATCAACAAACGACTTTCACTTTGATTGCTATTGACATATCGAGTGCAGTTATTTTCGTCGCTTGACAATGACCTGAGGTCAACCTGTGATGCAAAAAAGGTTCGTTTGTTATAGCGTGACAAGGAAGTAGTACATGACAGTGAAGATAATTCGTGACTTGTTTCGAATGCTCATCGACTCAATCGCGTTTTACGCAATAAGTGGCAAAATATGAGGGATTAACGCTGCCAATTGGGTGCTTTTGATCTTCCAGTTTCATACGCTACTCGCCTGTATTGTAAAATCATATGAAAGAGACATATTTAATCTCAGCACCACATTACATCTGCGCACAGAAACTTGTACTGTCTCTTAATTCAACTTAAAACCACTTTCATCCTGAATGCATTTTGTTTTTTTCAAGTGATCTATGTTACTAAAAACATATAAAACAGTATTGCTCATTCTCACATGATAGGTGGCTTGAGAGTTTCCAGACCAAATGTCAGGAGTTTTTCATAATGGGCTTCTGCAAATGTTCTGCATGCCTCGATTTAACTAGATTTTATCTATTGTTAATGTCATATACAATAACGGATATCTTAAATTCTTTTTGTGATGTTGGGTCGAACATTATTGGTCACTGACTTGCATTTATCTCTAGAAAGTTCAGCATTCTCAAAAGTCACCATTCACAGATCTTACTCGAAATGCTTCGAGATTCATAGACGAATTTTATAAATCAGAGTGTAACAAATGCTGCACGCCTTTATGGAAATGTCTGAAATTCTTAGTCGGCTTAGGGTGCAGGCGTAGATTAAAGGATCATAACACAAAAGCATTCATTCCACGAGGAGAGTTATTGATGTACTGACGTTAAAACTCCCTAATTTATCTTATTTTGGGAGGGGGGGTCGGATAAGATGAGTTGGTAGTCCTTCCCAATTCTCCACAATATTCCTTGCTCAGTTCATACAGAAAGCATTGATTGGCTAAGTTTTTACCCTATGATATTCATACCCTTCTGATAGAGGAAATTGTCATGGATTGGATAGAAGAAATAAAGAAGAAATATGTATCAATTAAATTAACTCTTTTCATTCATGTCCTGTCTAAGCCAGTGTAATCAATTACATGTATTAGACGTCTAGTTAAATATCAGAAAAACTTATACGGACTACAAGTTCCCCAGAACTAGCTATGGATACACGAAATGAACGAAAATCTCCTCCTATGAAATATTGTTACTACCTTTATCCATGGTTCTGCAATTTTTTTTCCAATTTCTGTTCCCGAAAGGAATACTTTTTTCAAGGAGCCGAATAAAACAAAATTCTAAATATAGGACCAAGTTCTCGTTCCCCAAATTTCTCACATTGAAAAATCCCTTCGACGCACTTTGAAGTTTTTAATTCCTTCTTAAGTTTATCCGGAAACGATTTTGCTTTGTTTTAGTGTTACAAGACAATGTAAGGTACAGATAACGATTAAAAAAGAGCGGATGGGCGTTGAAAAATTTGATGAAAAGGGTTGCCTCCTTCGGTTGAGAGATACATTCCTCTCTGCCACGACTTAATCACACCACAAAGGATAATAGCAAGGATTTCTTTAATAAAGAGGAAATGCTTGTTTGATGGTAGTGAAGATGTTAAATTATTTTTTGAAATCTAAATCGTAAAAGAGTAGAGATGTATAGAATGCGCTTTGTGGAGGAATTCCGTAACTGATTTTTGTGATAACTCTCCAAGGAACGTCAATGAAAACTTTTGTCTGTTTGTCACCTTAAAAGAAATAACTATGTGGCGGTCGACAATAAAGCCTAACTTTCTCTAGCCCGTCACCACAAGAGTTGGCGAGTCAGTTGTGAGAGAGAAAGTCTTGAGCGTTAAGCATAACATTGCGTGCTGTGTTTTGAATGAACAAGCAGTTGTCATGATGGCGTGGCTGCTTGCAAATCACAGCTTCCTAAATCCACTTGAAATTCATGACAACAAAGGAAACAAAAAACACTCGCCATTACTGAACTCAAACAGACCTCACCTCGTGCTGTGTTTTACGTGCGAAGCTCGCTCGCGAAGTTTCATGTCCGAAAGCTGCCGTGGTGCATAGAGGACACAATTTGGAAATGTGGTGCCTTTGAACGTGCTCGGTAAGCTAGTAAATCCACTTATCCCTTTATAATCTTATGACTCACCAAAACGCTGATCCAATTGGGAAATGCTGTCCTAGGCCGTCTGGCTTAATTCTTTATTGGAATTAAGATTCTTGGCCATTTGGGTTCGTGATTTAACAATTACATCCCATGCTTATTTGTTCGCTTCGAGGACAAGTTAATACTGGATCAGATCAAAGCAGGAATTCCTGCTTGGATTTCTTGATCTTTTGTTAATAAGCTCGAGTCGGATTTATTAACCTGCGAATTGCTCGACAGCAGACTATTACCGGCTTCTGATAAGCCCAGGTGATGTACGCGTCGTCTCGAGTTTAAGTGATTTATTTGCATTTGCAAAGGATAGTACTACTCCTACTTTATAGTATTGGAACTCAGAGAGAAGCACTGGCATGGATCTTTCCCCTCGTAAAACGTTTCTTTCCGCACCGTTTCGCCTGCTAAGAACCGAAAATGTTGGTAGGAAAAGCTCTAAAGCGAGTATGAGCGAGGCCTTGAAGAGGGCGACGCTTACGCACGCGGCAAAAGGTATGACATGCTACGAATTAATGACCTGTAACTTAAAAAGCGTCTAAGTGAATATTTTTCTCTCTTCTCTGCAAATCGATGGTCGCATTCTGTAATTTATGGCCTACAAAGACGCCATGAGTCGCCCAAAACTAAATAATAAAGAGGGTCACGTTCATGATGTGTAAATCACTAATGAACGCGTTACACCCTATATGTTTTTGAAATGTGCTACAGTGTTAGAAAAAAAAAGTTGTACTTTTTGCCTTTTTAGATCGTGTGCTCCACGATTTCATCCAACACGGCCACTATACTTCTTGTAGTAAAATCCTTTCACAACACTAATTGTGTTATTTGACCCCGAGTACTTAGCGGTTTATTCGTAAATTGAAACAGCACGGAGCCAATTGTTGACAAATCACGCTATAATTATAAGATCACGCTGCGACTGAAGAATACCAGTAGCGGGCTTTAAAAAGAGTCGGTGGTTACGGATATGACATGTATTGACCAAAACATACCGAACAGCGGTTCATATCCGAATGCCAGAGCAAATTAAAATCATAAGCTTTAAGACCGAAAGTTTCACATGGAGAAAGGAAGGAGACCTGTTTTCGTTCGACATACTATAAATTATTGTAATAAGCTGAGTTCTACACGCATTTTCGTTGGTTAGCTCTTATGATCTATTAGAGGACAGACGCATGGACGGCATCAGCATCTTGCACCAAATTTTGCTTCTTTATTCAAGAAAACAAATAGACTGCACTAAATCAAAACAGGTTCACTATGGGCGTTCTCTAAAGAAATTGCAAATACTTGCGAGATTTGTTTGTCGTATACTCAGACATTAGTCTTGGTTTCTCATTATTCACGGTCCGTGTTTCTAAGGGTGTCTCTCCAGCTGGTTATGTATCTTTACCTTTTGTTAAGCTTACCTGTTTTAAAGAAGGCCTATAACATTCTCAAATCAAGGGCCTCCTTTTTCAGCGATAAACTCATTTGCCAGTTTGTTTGTTTTGTTGAATTTTTTTCATTTATATTGTTATCATAACCACCAAGTTGAGGGTGGAAAACAGGAAAGTGTAGTAACCACGGAAACGGTATGATTTATTGATGCCATTCAAAGAAGCATTACCGAGCATTCCCGTCTCAGCAAGTAGTACGTAGACGCGTGGGAGGGAAGAAGAATGGATTTTTCCCTATCTACCTTAATCTAATAAAGTTAACTTTATCATTTTGATCTGAGGGTCGTGTTAACTCGCAAATACTTTACGCCTCATTAGAACCTAAACCGGAGCATGGATTAGTCTGCTGTGGTACTGAAAACTTTTTCATTCGTTCATTCATCCTCTTTCGCCTCCATAAGTCGAACTCGTCGTCTATTCCTTTATTTAGTTATTTATCAAGGTAGAGGCAGATGCGCTGCAGAGTTCGGTTCTAGACGAAAACTGTCATAAGGACATGTATTTCTTTTTCCTGTTTGTTTGGCCACTAAGCCACCTTTTCCGCCACAAATGAATTAAAACTTTAATTTCAAGTTACAAGAGTTCTTAGAAGGCTTGTGTTGGCGATTAATGCTTAAGAAACTTTGCTGTCATTAGGAATTGTCTGGATCAGAAACACATTACAAACTAACGGCCCACAATGGATTTTATTTCCTTTTTCACTTGTTTGTTTGTTCAAATTGGCACGTGCAAAATTTACCTATTGCTGTGTAAGTGTGTGTTTTCACGGTATTGATATTTTTATGGCGAATGCTTTCCTTTTCGATCAATCTGTGCACATCAAAAAGAACCACTTTATATAAAATACGTAAAACACCATATATTATTTTTGCAGAGCGGGAGTGGCGACACCTGAAGGCCGAATATGAAAGTTACATCATGGCGCTAGAGGCCGAGAGGGATACGCGACAAAGACGAGGCCCTAAGCAACAAGTAAACAAATTGTCTTAATATTTAATGAAAGTAATGAAAGCAAGGGTCTTGAACGTGATTTGGAATAAAAAAGATACTGAGGTACAGGTAATGCAAGATAAATATAGCAGTAGAGAGAAAGGAATCACAAATTTTGAAATTTTGAATTTGGGAGTTCTAATTGATTTATCAGAGATGAGACCACAATTTTAAAATTTTCCTGGATCCCAAAATGTGGGTTCGAAGCTCAGTTAATAGTGACCAATCTAGCTGGGAGGCCTGGGTTCCTAAACTGTCGAGGCCTGATTCTGTTTCAGGGTTCTTTTCTGCGGTGCATAAATTGCACTCTATCAGCGAGTATAATTCCTTGTTCGATTCAAGATGAGATGTCTAAGTGAACCAGGACCAGGAATCCAAGGTTTAGTTAGATTGGTTTGAAGGCTGCGGTTATCAAAGTTTGTTAACTATAGTCTTTAATTCTTTTGGATCTCTCTGGACTGATTTCAGGTGACCTCGGAATGCCATGATCTTACCGAGAAGGCCCTTTTGCCAACAATCATAGAGGAGGAAGCTCTAAAAAACCAGACGAAAGCAGTATTGCTTGCAGAATTGGTTTCTCTGGAGTTATTCTATGGTTTGGAAGATTTGGTTCGAGATGGTTCAACAGGGAAGGCTCAGGGCGTCGCAAGCAGCAAACTGCACAGTCTTACAGACAAAGATTTACTGCTACACAGTGCTGAAACACTATTAGAGGTATATTCTAACTACGTTGTTGTAAGTAGCATGCAATCCTGTCGCACAAACCAGCTTAAAGTTATAAGTATGATATTTGTTGCTGAGACGATCATAGGGTCAACTCTAACAGTCACCTGTTTCCAGTAGTCACGTATCTTTAAAGCGTCCGCTGACCTGATAAGTATTCATTCATAGGAGACTGAGCCGTTCTACATTCACAATGTGCAGCGAAGAGGCAAGCTAAAAGCATTTTCCAAAATTTGAAGCTTAAATAAGGTTCCAAAGCTGTTTTCTCTATCTGAGAAAGTTTCTGGTGTGAGTGAAATATCCCGTGCCCATGAGGCGAAATCTGAAGAAACTGTCTTGTCTAGTCACAACAACAGCTTACGTTGCTGATTTCTGATATTTTTTACCAGCTTACCGAATACTTCTTCTCAAAGAGCGCCCTTGCTATCGACGAAAATGGCAAGAACTCAAAAGGTGCTACATCTGAAACTGAGAAAACGGTTTTGCCAAGCTTATCTTTGGAGTTAGGTAGGTCACTCTACGCTGTTTGACAAATACCCTTGTATCAGGTGAACATAAACTGCTCGTGGTCTTCTGCCTTGTTTATGATATGTATCACATAATATACTGGTATTCCATAATGCCTTCAAAAGTGGCACCAACGGACCACGTTATTATGTTTATGAAACAAACGTAACTTGTTTTACTGAAACAATTCTCAGACTCTTAGAATCTTCAACGAAGATTCTTTTTGTACTCATGTCTGCGTTGTCGATGACATCATCGGTGGGAGATTTGTTTACTTAACCAGGCATTCAGAATACATTACTAAGCTGGGCTATCACAAAAACTTCTGTGAATTATGGTTGGCGCAGGAAAAGGAGATCAGAAAAGCTTAAATTACTTCGCGAAAATAACACCAGAGGGCGATATAATTTGTGTATGCGTAAATCAATAATTAAGGGTATCCGGCTTGGGCAGAAGTGCTATTTACATTTCAGCTTAGCGCTGTTGAGTTTGATCTCATGTTAGCAGAGGCTTTGACGTTCATAGAACAAATTAAGTGTAAAGCTAACAAGCTTAATCTGTATGTTATTGCATAAACAAGAGTTTCTGATTAATCTTGCCAAAAGCAATTTAAAATCCATTTAAGATCGTGATACATTATTGGAGGATTTCAATGCTCAGATTAGATGAGCAAGACCAAATTAAAACTGTTACCGCCCTTTGTATATTCTCTGGAATATTCCCTCGGTTTCCTGTAAGCAAACTGAACTACCGCTATTCCTTATTTAGAAATTAATGTTTTGGCGGCAACTGACCTCAAAGTAATATCCACATGATTTCGTCATCGATTCAGTAAATCGCTAAGAGCAGTTTAGGGTCAAAAGGCGAAGTTTTGTTTTGTTTGTAAGCGTTTGACTTAAACTTGTACCGGCGACTTAGAGCCGATGCCCCTAAAGCAGAATTAGATATTTGAAGTATACTTATACTTTAAGTATGCTTCTATAGAAAAATAATAGCATTTTGACTCTTAACGAGAGTTTTATCAATAACATTTCTCTGAACTTACATCAATCCATTTTCATATGCTGTGTGTATGCAGAGCAAGGTTTTTGCTATCGGGTCTAAATGACGATTGTCGGCATACACGTCAACCCTTTGTGTAAGCCTCACAAAATGTTTAGAAAATTGGGCGACAGATATCGGCCACGAACACGGACCCCTGGCGTGAAAGCAAATAAACTCTTCAACCACTAAGGACTTTATTTCGTATTTTTCTTTGTATAAGTTTCATGCACGAACGATAACTGAAATGCGTGGGGCGAACA